AATAAATAATGAAAAATAATTATAATAATCAAATACTTTTTTGATTCTATTTCAAGTAAAATTAAAAAAAAAATATGTTTAATTCGTATTCATTACATATATTATTAAAAACTAAAAAGTTTCAAATTTATAATTCGTATACATTAATTTAAAATTAGAATAATATTACAAAAGCAGTATTTCAAATTTCAATATCAAACTTTACTATTTATTTACAAATAAAATTCGAACTTATACAGATATACAGTGAATTATGACACAAACACTAACTTCCAAAAACTTAAAATGAAACTTTCATGATTTCAAAAAAATTAGTCAATGCGTTTTTCAAATTTTATTTATAAATGAAACAAATCTTTGTCAACTAATTCAAAATAATTTTAAGTAATATACTAATATTCTGACTAATGTTTTCATCGTGAATAATTAAAAAAACTAAAATATAAATATCATAATCCTTATCAATTATACGAAAAAATTCCTTCATGGGGAAAAAATTTTAAATTTTCATTATCAAAAAAAAATAATTGCTAGACAATTTGTATTTTATTATTGATAATATTTAATTTAATACAAAATATTCACGTTGTAATTCCGTATTTTAGGGCTGCTCAATTAATTAATTTATATAAATAACTAGATGTAAAAACAAAATTACGAAAATTATATAAATAGGTATCTAAATTAATTACTTAAATCTAGTGTAATAACATTTTCAAAATTCCAAACTTTATATTATTTTGAATAACTGTATCATTAAAAAATAAAAACAGATATGTACTCTTGATGAATTCAAACCGAATATAGGTAATATATTATAAGCAATAATATGGACTATGTGACAAAAATATTAAATTGCAGTGACAACATAATGTAGTTACATTTTCACGACATGCATTTTAACAATATGTACCTAGTCTAGATTTTTAACTGCTGGTTGTTACGCTTTTTATTCATTGATACACAAAGCTGAAATTTGTATAAATGTTATTTTTTTTATGCAACAAGTGGTTATGTATTTTAACAAATATTATGAAATAACATTACATTATTGATGATTCAATTTGAGAAAACTGTTCTAATTTAGTCATTCTACCGACTCAAAAAGTATATTTTAATTAGCAACTATTATTAATATTAACTTGATAAAAACAGTGATTTATTCAGTTAATTCGAATTAGATCTGATTTATGGATATACTACTTATGTGTTGCTAAGAAAAAAAAAATAATAGTAGGAGAAAAATATTTATTAAAAATTATTCAAGCAATAATTGAAAGGCTTGGAACAACAACCAGATAAATACACTTTTTAAATTATTTAGGGCTAATAAAACATATTTTATTTTTATCATAAATCGATTCTAAAAGTATTATAACTATTATCAACATAATGATAAATAATACTGTTGACTTAAAATGATTATTTTTTTTTTTTTTGGTCTTTAAATATAAGTAGTCAAAATGTATGGACCCTATGGGTTTATTAGGTTATTACGTCCAACATATTATTTTTAAAGTGTATACTTATACTAATTTAATTTAATTTGCCGAAAATTTTTAAATTTTGAATTAAATACTTATGAATAGTAATAAAACAATATCTCAAGCCATAAATTGAGTTATCGTGAACTCGAATTTATCTGGTTGTTGCACAAAAAATAAAAACAAGAATTAAAAAATAAATCCAATCTCATCATAAAATATATTTACATTCATCGGATTTAACTGATTTTTGTTTATGTTATTTTATCCAACACCAAATTTATCTAGTTTTTGTTCCAAGCCCTTCAATTATTACATCTGAAAATCAACGAAATAATTCGGTAGGATGTTAACTGAAAGAAGTATATACATAAGTTATGTATTTATATTGAAGTACCTACATTTGTATGTAAGTTTAATTTATTTAAAACAAATGAAACATCCTGGGAAATTGAAAGAAAAGCTTGAAAAATTAAATTGAAATATATCTACCAGACTAGGATTGAATTTGTTTATCAACTAATAATTTGTTGAATTTCCTTAGAAAATAGGATAGATATATTAAAATATATTTAAAAATATAAATAAAATCCTTCCAAAAAATAAAATAAATACAATTATATCTGTATAAAATAATTATAATACTGGAACGTGATTAGTATTTAATGTGACTATGAGTGTAAGAGTGTAGTTAATAAGATTACACAATGTAGTCTCTATGTACTATTGTCAAATTATGTAAATTCAATAATATATCATCGCCAAACGAAGACGGTGTTGACTCAGTAAGAAATTTCAAAAGACTTAATTACAATACATAATTATTACAAAAACAAAGTATGAAATGAAGGTGAAATTAACCTAAAAATCCATTGAACTCTATAACTGCTTAAATTATCTTTCTAAATATTATACTAATAATAGTATGAGAATATTTTTAATACATTTAAGGTTTTTATAATTTTTCTTTATTAAAATAAATATTATGTTAAGCCAAATTTAAAATGAAAAACAAAGTTTTTATAACTTTATTACTTTGCATGAAAAAAGTTTAAAAACTGATCTGAAAATAAGCAATAATTTAAAAAAATATAACATATTATTATTAGTTTATCACGTTGAAGTGTTTCATAAAAAACATTGTTAATAATCGATGGTTATGATTATGTGCTCCTTTGAAAGAGAATTCATTTAACGCAATGGATCTTCTAAAACATTTATTATGTAATATTACAAACTTTGAATAATATGCAAACAACTATTTTAAACTGTATCTGTATATTATAATATTATGGATATAATTTTTTCTAAAATCTTATAAGTTTGTTCTTTTTATTTTAATTACTCATTCATGTATATAGCTTATCAGTTATCACAATAAACATATAACAAGTATGTAATTATAATAATATGAATTCATATAATAATAGGTAAATCATTAAAACGGAATACAAAACAAATTCAAATATAAACCTTATATTTTTATCGTTTAAAATACAATATATACTCAAATCTTGTATTCTTTTTATCTGTTAACTTTCCATTTTTGTAAACCACGATTTAACATTTTTTTTTTAAATTTACAAATTGTAGTAATTATTTGTTTAACCTCACTCCATAAATATATTTTTTATAGAAAATACTTATTTTATAAGATTCATATTAGTTATATTATATGACAGTCTTTAACTACTATTTGAAGAGTATATACTATATTTTTAAAATAAGTAATATAGTTTTCAAATTTGCTTCTAATATTATTTATTTTGTTTTTGTTATAACTTATAAGATACATAATACCACAAATCACAAAATAAAAATTGTCACAAAATCATCAAAATAAATACATAGTATACTATATATTCATGAATATCTTAAATCATACATCTTAAGTTATAATATAAACATTTAGTATAACCAAAATATTAGTATGAATGTATTTGACACGTTAAATAATTAAAGTAAATTTTAATTTTTTTAATAAAAATTAATTAACTATTACGTTTTAGTTATATTTTATAAAAAGAATATACACATTTATTAAAATAAACATGTTAATATAAAAATTAAAAAGTAAATTTATGGACAACATTATTGTTGAAGTCACTACTTGTTCTACCTACATTTTGAATTCACTTGTATTTTAAAATGTTTACATAATATATTTTTTTTAACATTTATCAATAACCTTTCTTTTTATACAATAACAAAATCAATTATTGAACACGTTTAAGTGCATAAACCTTTTTGATAACATGTGATACACAAATAAATGCTACTAAAATATAAATTCATTTCATAATATATTATTTACATTCGTTTTCATTTTAAAGTAAATAGACATTTTTCCAATGTATAAAAATATTTAGATACTATATAATAATATGTACACAACTTCACAGAGTTTTTTGTTAATTTGTAAAATTATAGGCAGATAATATAATTTAATTATTTGTTTTATCTAAAATACAAAGTTTTATACCGCACTAAAATCTATTTATTTAGAACCTTGAATTTTAAATAAAAAAATTTTTTTAATTTAAATATTTGTCTTCTATGACAACTTGAAGACTACTAATATGATATTTTATATTATAAAACAATTTATTAAGTTAAGTTATATTTTTATTGTTATACTAAAATTACAAGTTGAAATTTAAATATAATTTTTATTCAGAAAAGATATATTTAATGTAAATGGTTGGATTTAATTAATATATAATTAATTGATGTAATTAATAATTAATAAAATCGTTTTTTGATTTATTATTTAAACAGCAAAAAAATGTATAAATAATAAAATATCATATAACAAAAGTATCTAATTAATTGATTATTTATTATACATTTACCATTTTTTTTTTTTTTTTTTTTTTTAGGTTGAACCGTTAAAATGATAAAATTAAGGTCTTTATGTCATTAAAAATTTCAAACTCTGATTTATTGTTATTACAACCTTTTTATATATATAAAAAAAAGGTTGATTAAGTTTTACATTTTATACAAATATTTCACAATGATCTTTAAAAGGTATTATTATATTGTTTTGTTAAAATATTCTAATAAAAAAAAAAAATTCTCCAACATTTTTAATTTAATAACCAAGACAATGTTTATGTTATTGACACAATTAATATTCTTATTATGGAAAGTAAACTAAAAATCAATTATTTTAATATTTCATAGAAGCCACGAAAATAGGACGGAAGGCCATAAAAAATTAATAATTGTGACAAAATTCCGTGTGTATGGAGTAAGCACGTTTTTCATTAGATCCTATTTTGTTGTTGTCATATAATCGTATAATCAAAATATTCGTATGTTAATAAATAAAATCCAAACAATCTTCCGTATTAATAATAAAAAAAAAAAAAAACAATTATAGCTAAATATTATCGGATTTTTGATCTTCAACTATCAAAGCATAAACATAGATAAAATGTACGTTCAAATATTTTTGAAAACTCGCTACTAACTTCTAAAATATTAATATATTATTATACATCTGTAACTTACCGATTGGCTGTCGGATTTCGTACTGTAAGAGGTTAGTCCAAAATCGAGTTGACAACAAACGATAGATGTTCTCAATTTCTAGAAAATTCGCAATAGGTTTCAAAAAAATATATAAATATATATATATATATATATATATATTTTTTTTTTTATACAATGTATAGTATTTTTGTTATTTTTATTTTAGATTCGCACGTGGTTATCGGCCAAGTGGAAAAACAAAATTTTGAAAATACGACGAGACGAAAAACCGCTATACGACGACTGCGACGACAACGGCCGAGCAAAAACCGCACGCGATGCCTGCCGTTAAAACGAACTGAACTCGTCTCTCGAGCGACCGGCCCACCCGCATGCATACGATACCGAATTTATGAGCAACGCCAGTAACGCGCAACTCGTCCTTGTCGACGAAAATCACACACGTGCGCCGATGCCGCCGTCGCCGCCGAAATGAAAAGTTAGGCGTCGAACCGATGACTGGCGAACGATGATCATTGTTGTGCGTAAACTTAATCATTTTGCAGTAATTAAATTTTATTAAGAACCATACGTACGGTTAAAACATATTATATCAAAAAAATAAAAAAATAAATAAAATAAAAAATAAAAATAAATAAATCGATTAAATCCATCTATGCGTTATTGATTATTATTGTTTTATAACAAATAAAATCATCATTAGGTTTATGATTACAATATTTTTTTTTTGTGATACTTAATCGATTTTTCTACTTGTTATGGTTACTTTTGTGGTACCTAAAGACAGGGCCGAATTATAAGGGAAGCAACAAACCTGCAGTAACGTACTTAGAATTGTAAATCTCTAGTGGCCCATCAAATCTCACGATTTTACTCTTTATCAAAATATAGATATGATTAAGTAAAATAAAGACAAATCCACAATGATATGAATTTTGTATTTTTATTATCAAAACAAAAGAAAAAACCATTTGTTGATTTTCTGTTTTCCGAGAGCGTTTAAGCTTTTTTACAGGCTTAAAGTACAATTACAAATTATAATAAATATAATAGATTCCGACCACACCCCCACCCACCCCAATAAAATATACGAATTATCACTGTAGCTGTAATTATACAATTTAATATTAATTAAATAATGTTTCTATGATTAGATAATATTATAATTATATTGTATCCTACACCTACCTACTAACAAGTACACATGTTTGCGAGACTAAAAAAAAAACGAGAAATATTAAATAAATAAAATATACCAACCAACACACTGTTATTATAGTAACATGATACAGAGCGTGTTGTTATAATGTATGGCGATCGTGTCAGTGTTCACGCAGTCGTCACAGTCACAATAATGATATTTGTAACATTATTATACAGCCCAAATCGTAGTAAAATGCACTCGAAAATGTTTTAAAACATATAAATACTTGTGAGACACGCGCGTCAACGTATCTACATGTACGTATATTTTCATAATATTAAGTTTGTGTAGTGACTGCGTGAATTATTATTTATTTTCCGAGTAAAATTATATGATGTCCATTAAATGCGTTTAGAGGCGTTTCCCTAATTGATATTTCAATAATATTACTATGACATTTACAAAAAGATTCGCCAAACATGTTACTCTCATTTTATTCATTAAAACTATGCGTATTTATTCAAAATCTAATCATTGAAACTTTAAGTACAATATTATAATATCTACTTCCCTAATACGTCCATATTTTAATTTTTCTAAATATTATTTAAATTAAATTTCCAACAATTAGTTTTTAAGTTATTAAATGGTATAGGTAAATAGTGTAGGTAACACTCATCATAATTATATTCCACACGATAATTTAATAACCATTTAGTAGTCAATATTAACATTTTTTTATTTGGAAATATTGTCTGAGTATAGTTTAATTAGTAATTACTAAATATATTTAAGTACTAGAACAGTATAGTTGATAGTTTTATGTTTTATGTTTGATCATAGCACTCAAATATTTTAAACTTATTATCATGGACTACTTATCATTATTTTATAAAATTTATAATAGCTCAGAAACTAATATTTTGAATTTTGATTTAAATACCTACGCTTTACAGTAAAAATAAAGGTTCTAATTTGGAAAAAAAATAATTCGCGGTAATTATTTTTTTTGAATAAAACACTTAAATTTTTCAAAATAATATATTATACTTTAAACATACTTAAAAATTCAAAAATTATATAATTAAATTAAATACATAATGAATATATATAATTAATTAATTTTTATTATAAATTAATAAATATAATTGGAATGAGCATTTTTTTATAAATCACCCTTTATGATTTGATATATAATAATAATTAAATAACGCATGCCATCACGATCACAACAAATTGTATCGCACTTATTGATCACGTAAACGACTCAATTAAACTCAATTTAGAAGTAATAATATTATATTATTGTGACATTATAGTTTTTTCCTTCAAATAAATATGTTTTAAATTATAGATGCAAGACGATATTAGTTATTGGTTTTAGTGTACATATTCCGTTTTTATAATTTATTTTGTAAACAACTGTTTGAGAGAGAAAAATATTATGTTAATATAGTTTTTGCAGTATTTCTACATAGATAATAGATATTATGGTATTTGTATTGTAATCATCCAATAGTCTTTGATAAAATGTTTCGATTGTATGTGTGTGTGTGTATATGTGTGTGCATGTTTTTCTTTTAAAAAAAAAAAAAGGGGAAATTAAAAAAGGGGGAAAAAAGGAAATTTTACTCAATAATATTGTTGTTCAATTAGTGTCTAACATTTTTGTTTTTTACAAGTACAATTTCCACATTATTATATCATAGTGAATGTAATTATCATTAATTGATAGTAAAATATAAAATCAATCTGTCTTCGAATTATTTTTATTATAATAATGACGCATACTTATATTAAATATTTAATTTTGTAAAATAATAGCGAACTTCCAAATATTAAGTTGTATTAAAAGATTATTTTGTTACTATTTTTTTATATTTAAAATCTCGTTAAGAATTTTATAATTTATCATGCTTTGGAGTGAATCATTGTTGTAGAGAATATGTCTCAACGGGGGACATATTTTTGTCGAACATCCCGCCACTGGGCTCCCTGCGAATATTATAAGAAATGTTCTTCATATGAGCGGCTGGGGAAAACTATTTTTTATTTATCTTGTTTTAAGTATCGTTTTTACTCAGGTTATACAAACTAAGTAATACGAAACATATTGGAGATAATATAAAAAGGGCGTAGGCTCAAAATAAAAGGCAGAGCTCTTTGTTGAAATCATTCATTCTCCTGTCCTGATATTTTAGTGGAAACAATAAAAATTATATATATTATTGTACCATGAGTTATCTAAATATACCTACCCTTAATTCGTTTTGTACATAATGTTTATTTGTCACGGCCGGTTTCCACTAAAATATCGCACTATAACGGTGGTGGTCCCTTATCGAATTGACCGTTGTCATGTATGAAATTTCACCCACATTAATGGACAGCAGTCTTAGAATAACTACAACCGTAATATACAACAGTGAATAAAATATGAGAAATGCCTTTAAAAGGCAAACATAGGTATTGTTCAAAAACAACCTCAGAAATTTCTTAGTAATATATAATTTAATAAACAGCAAAAGTTAGGTTATTATACAAATTAAGAATATTATTACTTTTCGGTTGTATTGTAACTAATATTAGTTATATTTTCAATATATCAAAACAAAAAACGGTTAATTAAATAATTTACTAATAATACTATGCTCTCATAAATTTATACACATAAAGATACCATCACCCACACGACAAATAAATATTTTTTGCTGAGCTTTTTTTAACGCCAAAAAAATGTTTAGTTGTTGTTGTTTTTTTTTTTTTTTTTGATCAATTAAAAATTGTACAATCTGTAAATTTCTATTTACAAAAACTTAAGTAATGTAAGTTAATATAAAATAATATAGTTTAAAATAAAATTTAGTAAAATAATTAACTAAACTTTTATAGATATAGTAGAAAGAAGATTGATTGAAGAAACTATCCACTAAAGGAACTTTATGACATAGAGGTTTTTTGAGAGCTGAAATGACAGTTGTGAGTAAGTACCGAAAGGGATTTAAAAAAGGATTCAAATTTATCAAGACATTTAAGAGGTGAGATTTTATTTATAAGATTTAGTTTAAATGATTAGTGACTTTCTATTAAAATTGTATACAAACGTGGTTTTGTCGAATTTTCAGTAGCTGGTCGCTTGTGTTAAGGATTGGTGATGGAATTGAATGGCAATAATTGTTAACGTTTTTGATTTAATTTATTTTATATTTACGGGTCAGTTGACAGTTGTACATTGAACATCTCATATAGATGATAGGGCGTGGTTTTTTATACTGAGAGTGCATTATCAGTGATTTTCTGTAGAAGATGAATATGTGATCTTTCCCCAAATTTGATGCATACAAAAATATATACAAAATAGGCGCTCGGATATTGCTATAGATTTGTCAATTTAATTTAATACTTTGTAAAGTTTAATATAAATTTTAAAACTTATTAATAATATGTTTTTATGACGTTATTTTAAAATTATCCATGAACGGTTATCACTGGACGGGCGAACATAAAAATAAACTTAAAACAATCATAATCCATATAAAATAATCTTAACTTTTTTTTTTCTTTTAAAATCTTTTAAAAACTTAGAACTACTATTGTATTATCAATCAATATAATAGAATTATATAATGAGGTATCACTGAAAGTTTCACCCTAGAGCTCAAAACTTTTTTTAAGTTATGCTACTGATTTTTATTAATAATATCACTGCCTATTATGTTACTGTTTATCATTTGACAATAAATAGTTTTAATTTAAATTATTTGCCATATTAACTAATTTATATTTTCCTGAAAATTCTTTAAAACCGTACAAATATTTATGTTTATACTTTATTTGTAAAATTCGATCTCAATTATTCTGTAATTTCTGAGTATAATGACTTTTATAAATAATCTAAAAAATTACTGTCAACTGTTTTACCATTCGATATGAATATTTTTAAGCCTTTGATAAGTTTACTTTACTGAGTATAACACATAATATTTTTCTTGTAGAAAATAGATCATAAAATAATATTCTACCTGTTGTAATATCATTAAGCCCCAGCTCTTATTAATAGTCATAATAAAAGCAACAACAGACATTGTATGTTTTGTTGTTTCAATGGTAAAATGTGTACTGAATGGCTTATTTTCACTCTAAGAACAAATGTGTACATATTATCTGCGCGATGCA